TTTATTTTTAAAACATACACCATCCTTTATGTATAATGTGTAGCAAGGATGGCATACATACATAAAAAGACAATAAGAACCTGGAGGGGGAAAATTAGTAGTGCGGGCCCCAAATGTAGACTGCAAAGAAGTCTAGTTGGATATAATGATAGCATCAGTAGCAGAAGAAATATTTACACATAATAAATTAAAAATGAACAATCCAGTGAGCTACAAGTGGGGAAGGAAAGCGTTCAATCCAGTTGTGCAGCTAACTAGACAATAATCAAACAAGTCCAAATTGAACCATCCAACAAACCAATAGAACAGAAATAAATCCTTAAATCTTCAGCTCCCATGTCTGTTCATTCTCTCTCCCTCTTCACTCCCTCTGCACAGCTCAGACTCCTTCCACCAACCGTGTGCTTATTCTTCAGTGGGTTTCACTTGCATGGCAGTCAGCTCTGCCCCCTGAGAAAGCAGCCCTTTGGGGAACTTTCTGGAATACTGACTTGGCCATTATCCTTGGTCTCCCTTGCCCTCAGAGTTGGGGCAGAGAGAACCCACCGGCGAGGTGGCCACCTCCTGACTCTTGTCTTTTACTGCTGTCAAAGCACCAGCAATGGGTTTTCCAAACTGCAAGTGTTGACATATCCTTTCATAGGAAATGTTTCCACATCCTTTCTCAGTCCCTTTATCTGGTTATAGCAAGAGATTGTCCATCCTTTTTTGTTTGTTTGTTTGTTTACAGTGGCTCAGGTTTTCCTCAGCTAGCTGGATAGCTCTGTAAATTAAGTCTCTGGTTGTGGAGCCAGAGGTTGAGAGCTCCATTCCCCCCTCAGAAAAACCGGGTTGGGTGGCCTTGGGCAAGCTGCACATTCCCCCCCCCTAAGAACAACCCGGTTGGGTGGCCTTGGGCAAGCTACACATTCCCAGGGTGCCCTCAGAAGAAGGGCATTGGAAACCACTTCTGAGTACTCTCTACTTCAGAAAAAGGGAATTGGAAACCACTTCTGAGTACTCTCTACTGAAGAGGACCACCATAAATCAGAATTGACTGGATGGCACACAACGATTATAGGTTTTCCTCTACCACCTCTCTCCATCAGCTCCCTCTGCCCAGTGACTTGCATTGGACAACATAGTGGTTGAGGTCTCTGGGAGTTTGATTCTCCACTCTGCCTCCTTGACGGGCTGGACTCTGTGATCTGTGTCCCTACTAGATCTAGTCTTCCTTCCTTCATCCCTTCCTTTACTTCTTTAAGTCAGAAAACATACAAGCCATAACTAACATTTTGTTGTTCAGTCGTTACGTCATGTCCGACTATAACTAACATTTTGTTGTTTAGTCATTACGTCATGTTTGACTCTTCGTGACCCCCATGGACCAGAGCACGCCAGGCCCTCCTGTCTTCCACTGCCTCCCGGAGTTGGGTCAAATTCATGTTGGTCGCTTCAATGACCCTGTCCAACCATCTCATCCTCTGTCATCCCCTTCTCCTCTTGCCTTCATACTTTCCCAGCATCAGGGTCTTTTACAGGGAGTCTTCTCATGAGATGGCCAAAGTATTGGAGCCTCAGCTTCAGGATCTGTCCTTCCAGGGAGCACTCAGGCTTGATTTCTTTCAAAATAGATGTGTTGTTCTCCTTGCAGTCTAGGGGACTCTCAGGAGCCTCCCTCCAGCACCACAACTCAAAAGCGTCAATTCTTCGGTGGTCAGCTTTCTTTATGGTCCAGTTCTCACTTCCATACATCACTACTTGAAAAACCATAGCTTTGACGATGCGTACAGTATTTTTGTTGGCATGGTGATGTCTCTGCTTTTTAAGATGCTGTCTAGGATGGATGTTTGACATGGATGTTCGTTATAGGTTGGAAAAGCACAGCAGTAGAGGCTTTATGTTACGTCTTTCATCAGCCGTCCAGCCGTGTCTCGCTGTGCCCAGTGCAGAAACCCAGCTCTGCCAGGCTGCCTCGTCTCCAGCATAGAATTTTGTGTTATTTGGCACCAAGAAGATGAATTGTGGAAGGCAAGACTGACGTGCCACAGTTGATTATAGCTGGAATGTTATAAAGGCTTGAATATCGCTTAAATGCTTTCCTTCATCTCCCACCCCCACCCCCAAAATCCTTGAGCCTCTTTGGCAGGCCATGGTTCACACACGGCTCCAAAATCAGTTGTCAAGAGGATTAGAAACATAAAAAAGGGAGGTGCTTTTAATATGCCAGATGTTATGCTGTGTTCCACGTTGTGTGTCTCTTATAGACGGTCTTGAATGGTGACTGGAGAACGGCGCTATTTCTCTCTGTCTTTTCAACTCATGCATGCACATACCTGTGCAGAATAACTCCAGTGCCAACCAGATTTATAGGCATCCTAGTAAGAGCATCCTAAAAAGTTATCTTATTAAGGCATACTTGCCCACGTTGTGCGCTTTGCTCCGAGGTGCTATGGCCAGTTGCGTTCATGACCTTCTGGTGGGCTTTCTAGAGAGTTGGCTCCTGTGGGAAATGGGCTATGTGAAACCAGATATATGTTCGATCCGAGCCGTCAAGATTTCAGTTACTTTCTAAGGCAATAAACATTGAGGGCTGCTGGAGAAAAGCTACTAAGATAAAAATTCCTTTTTGTTTTGAAGGTTGAATGTTCAACCAAGCAATTGGAAGAAATAGGTTTCAGATGGAGGTATGAAGAACCTCCAGGGAAGTGTTTTGGTTTTATTATTTTTCATAACTTTTCCCCATTTGCACTGTTGGAGGCAATAGAATCTATTCTAGGATGTTCTTCCTGCCTGCAAATAACTGGGAAAACGTCTTTTCTTTGTAAGAGCTGCTGTGCCATGGAATATCCTGGCCTAATGGCAGTAGTTGGTGTTTTATTTATCAGGTCTTTTCTGTGTAAGAGCTGCTGTGCCATGGAATAATGGCAGTAGTTGGTGTTTTATTTATCAGAAAACGTCAAGAATCTTATTCTCTCTCTGTGTGTGTGTTTTGCCTCGGAAGAATTATAAGTTTTCCTGAAAGGAGGTAATAGGAACAGTGTTATAAATCCTTCAGCTTGTCCGAAAGGTTCATGAACCTGTATATAAGCTTTTTTCCCCCCATTACTGATGAAAATTGCTGTAACTCAGGTTAGAGAGGTCCATTTCTCTTACGTTTTCATGTGGGGTCCAAGACTTAGCCAAGGTGAGGCCCTGGTAATGCAAGACCTCGGGTAATGACGAAATCCTCTGTGTTGTGTTGTTGTTGTGGGGAAACCCCTTTTCCTTCTGCCTCTACAGATGTTGCAACCAAGTTTTTAATTTAAGAAACAACTTCTAAGCCACCTTTAGAACTGTGTAAAACTTTCCCGGATACCACGGGAATGGGCGCAGCTGCATGATAGCAAGAGTGGCAGGAGAAGAATAGCGAAACAGGAATAAACAGTAATAGTTTTTAGCTGCTGGAGTTGGTGTTGACGAGCATGTAAACTTCAAGCCCCCATCATTTCTGTAAACACAGCACCTATAAGGTGAGCCCCAAAATGCAGGCAGGTGGGTCAGTCCATATTGAAAAAGCAGGGACAGATCTTCTGTAAAAACTCGATAGCCTTAAATTGCTCTTTTGAAACCAAACTGCCTGCCTTCAGATATTAGCATTACAGCATAAATAATAATAATACTGTAATATGCTGTTTCTGGGGAAAATTTATTTCTCTGCTGGTTGTTAAGAAGATTACAAGCAAATTAAGGAGGAAGCAGAGAAGCCTGCTGGAGGAGAACTGGTGAGGTCCTAGACCCTACTGCTGAAAAGTCCTGGGGCTTCAAGCCAGCCAACCCTGGATCCACTACATCTCTGATAGCCGGACTCCCCACCCATCTTATATTTTGTTTTTTGTTTTTTTCTCATAAGTTCCCTTTCCAAGCAATCATGGAGTGAGATCTAGAGCAGTGGTCCCCAATCTTGGGCCTCCAGATGTTCTTGGACTACAACTCCCAGAAGTCTTCACCACCACCTCTGCTGGCCAGGATTTCTGGGAGTTGAAGTCCAAGAACATCTGGAGGCCCAAGGTTGGGGAACCACTGATCTAGAGCAGCCTTGTAGACCTTTTCTTAGAAGTTTCAAGCACCCACATTATAGCTGTGGCATGATGTGGTCCCCAGCCCTTCTGCAGCTGCCTTGACAACAGTATGTCTTAACAACAGTTAACCTCCCCTTCTTTTTTTTACTGCTGGCCATTTCAAGTGGTGCCTTACCCCACAGGCCTAAAAAGATCGGCCCCTGGTTCTGTATACTTGAGGGAGGGGAGTCGTGTTTGCAGCTGGGGAGGCTGTGGATAAGGGTTAGCAAAAATGGGTCCAAACATGCTTGCTTTGCAAAGTAATCCTTGTCTTTGTCAAGGATTTTAAACAAATCTTTAGATCTTAGTTCGTGCAGGGTGGGGTCTGAAAGTATGCGGGAGCACCTACATTTCCAGCTATATATATATATATGTATGTATATGTATTTACCCAGTCGGGGTGCATTGCATTGCAAACCTGTTACGCTTGAGCTGTGTTTGGAAAGGGGATGTCACGTCATATTTGGGTCTCTTACTCTCGCTTGCCCACCCCACCCAAAAAGTCTTCTAATTAAATGAAAAAAAAATTGAGAAGAACAAGTTTGCGTATCAGGGATTGTGAGTGTCTTGCCACTTAGGACTGAGAAAATTGATGGGGAAGGGATGGGCTATCATATAGTCAAGATCACAGATAAACGGACATATAGAAATGTTGTGAAACAGTTGCGGAAATTTCCAAGCTCTTGCTGTCTTTAAGCTCTGGGAAAAGGGGCTGGAAACCCGTCGCCCTCCAGATCATGGGCTCTTTCGGGTGGCTAACAGGCCTGGGTCATGGGAATTGTAGTCTGGCATGAAAGAAGGGGGCCCATTTCCTCCAGCTTGCTTTAGGATAAGAAAGAGGAAGGTGTTTTTCTCGTTTGTTGTGTTCACTTCTGAATAAAAACAAATGGAAATTGACTGTTCTCTCTTTTCCTCCTATAGGTAATGTTGCATGTTGCCCCAGGGTGATTCCCCCCTGTTGGTAGCTGAGGTAAGAAACGTTTCTCTGTGTGTGTAAATGTTGCTTAAGATTGCATCTAGCTTCTAACAAACTCCTGGGATGGAAGGGCCGTGTGCAATATAGCCCACAGTTCTGATCTTATAGCCTGCCATGCCTTCGGACCAACCTTTTGGTGCCTTTACAAACAGATAGCTACAAACATGTGGGAGTAGGTTAAGGGCATGGGGAGAGTCTTATGTCTTTCTTTCTTCAATAGGAAGAACGTTGGATAGAGTGAAGATTTTATCCCGTGGCATTAGGGAATTGGGCAACAAGCTGTTGCATTTAGTCTAGAACAGTGGCTCCCAACGTTGTGTTTCCCAGATGTTCTTGGACTAAAACTCCCAGAAGCCTTCAGCACTAGCTCTGCTGGCCAGGATTTCTGGGAGTTGCAGTCCAAGAACACCTAGGGACCCAAGACTGCGCATCACTGACCTAGGGAAAAAGGGAGTTGTGATTTTTGTGTCTGCACATACTCGCTTGAGAGACAAGTGTAGACCTTTTTACACACACACACGGAAACCTGGATTTATCGAACAAAGCTCCATTATTCCCATGACTCTTTCTTCACATAGCTCCCACTAGGGGAATGATGGGAACTGTAGTCCACGTATAGCTGTGTGGAACAAAGTTTTGGAAGGCCATGGCGAACCATTACATAAGGGGTTGTTGGCTTTTGCACCCCGAAACTTGATGTGCTTATGTGCTGTTGGCAGGTTGAAACCCTTCAACGGTGATGACTCCATCTTGTGGGATCTTGAGATTCGTAGTTGACTGAGGACCTTGAGATCCTTTCTTAGAGACCTCTCTAGCGCCAGTGTCCTCAGGGAAGTGCTCTATCCGTCTCTAGAAGGGAATTCTCAGTATTTCACCAGACTAGAAGCCCTAGGATGTCGCTGTGACCATGAAAATGATATCAAACCACTTTGACGGTGTAACTGCTGTCGATGCGGTCATAGAAATCTAAGTCCAGTAAGACAGTTGCCCCGTCTAGTCCAGTCTGCTGTAAGGTGGCTGACTGTGGATTCTCTAGTTGGGCCGTCCCTTGCATCTAGTCTGTCTTAGCTGGAGGTGCTGAGGCACATCATGGTCCTTGCATTATAGTTGTTCCATACCAGTGAGCTGTGGTTTGTCCCCATGCGTTACATGTGTACAAAATACATGTAAAGTGGTTTAAGTCCAGATTTTGGGACCTACAAATATGGTTGGTAGTTGACAACCACACATTGGATCCTGATAACCAGTAGTGAAGCGTTTGATATCTTTCACCCGTGGAGGGGTTCAGGTGTGCGCCTTGAGAACTTCTGGCATGGATGCCCAGAGAAGGATGATATGTTTCTGTCCCAAAATGGCACCATACTTTTTATAATATAGGGTATACTCCCAATGTCCTGGCTCATAAAAAGTACATTTCCGCACATGCCCCACATAGTTTGCTAGGAGAGAATCGTTTGTGGAACTCTGGATAACTACTTTACCCGTTTTTTTCGTTAAGCATCCTTATCCTTGAGCATTGCTGAAACCCCAGCCCCGGAACACCATTTCTAAATGTATGTTGGCATTGTCATGAACTTGGATAGATTTTTGTACCTGATTAAATGTTCGTGGACGTGGTGGCGCTGTGGGCTAAACCTGAACTCATGTAGTCCTATACGAAGAAAGAAATTCTCATTACAGCATTCTTTCCGTGGAATGGAGATGGGGGCTAAGTCAATGGCGTAAATCCAGTTTTACATCCCCATTAGACTTGAAAGTTGCTTTAAATGCCGAGTCAGACCATTGTTGCATCCAGCCCATTATTATATGATCTTGGACTGTCAGCATCTACCCAGGGTTTCATGAAGGATTTTCTCCTAGTCTTGCCTGGACATCCACGATGGGTATTCTCTGGTGGTCTCTCCCTTGCCAGTAGTAACCTGGCGGCTCAACCCGGCTTAGCTTCTAAAACCAGATGTGATCAGGAATCTGCCAGTACTAACCTGGCTCAACCCTGCTTAGCTTCTAAAACCAGATGTGATCAGGAATGTTCATGGCGCAGGGGCGATACCCACTGACTGAGTGGAGCTTCGCTAATGACTTGTATGAGCTAATCAGATACCAAACTGTATCCTTGTATCCTGTACTGCGTATTGTCTCTTGTCACTGCTAATCTACAGCCAAAACGTTTTGTATGACCTTTTCAACGCACAGGGGAGAAAAGAAAACCATTTACAGAGATGGATTTTTTTCCCAGATACTAGGGAGTTGGGGGGAGAGTGATGGAGGTGATGCAGGAGGCCAGCAATTCAGGTGAAGAGCCAGATGTGAAATCCATAACCGCAATGTTATTTAGTGTTGGTTTCCATGGGAATGTTTTGGCCGGTTCAGGCTTGTCCTCTTGGGCTCTTCCCTGTACATTTCCTGCAGAGAGCATGTGTTACATCTTTCTATCCAAGAGACACATGTTTCATATTTTCCCATAACCTCCTCCTGACCCTTTTGGCTAAAGAAAGGAAATGCAAGATGGGACAGTTTCTGCCTTTCACCCGCCCTCTCTCTCTCTCCCCCCCCCTTGATTGTGATTACTTACACGGAATAGAAAAAATATGTGTTTCTCTCTTCCTCCCACTTTTCTCTGTACGTGTGTAATATTTCCTTGCATCCAGAAAGGGTCAGCCAAGTTTCAAGGAACTTCCTACCCCGTTTCTGAGATGGACGTGTTTGGCTTCCCTTTGGGGGCTGTTTCTCTGGAGCTTAGCGTGAAAGCTAACGGGTTCAGTTAGTTGCTTAGACTAGAGTGTAGTGCTAAGATTGGTAAAGTGGGGCGGTTTGTTCTCCATACAAGCCCTAATTCACTTCGGAGTGTTGGCTCTGTGGTGGAACTTATGCTTTCCACGCAGAAGGTGTCGGTTCAGTACCTGATGTCACTGGAACTGGGAAAATCCCTGCCTGAAAACACTGATAGCAATGGCCAATTAGTACAGTGGTGCCTTGCTAGACGATGATAATCCGTTCCACTGAAATCGCTGTTTAGCAAAATCATTGTCTAGCAAAAAACATTTCCCCATTGGAATGCATTGAAACCTGTTTAATGTATTCCAATGGGGAAGAATTGTCGTTGTCTAGCGAAGATCGGCCATCGGAAAGCTGCTTTGCGAACCGCCGATCAGCTGTTTAAATAGCTGTCTTGCGAAGCTTAGATCCCGAAAACACCCGTTTTGCGAGCGCGGAGGGAGCTGTCAAAATCATTGTCTAGCGAAAATTGGTTTGCGAAGCAGGGACCAAGCATTGGCCAGTGAAATTCCCCCATAGGAATCACTGTTTTGCGAATCGCTATAGCAATCGCAAAAAGTCAATGTCTAGCGAAAAAACTGTCATGCAGGGTAACTGTCTAGCGAGGTGCCACTGTACTTTGGGTGGGGCCAATAAAGGCTAGATGATTCTATATGTGGTAGCTTCTGAAATTCCTGAGGATTTGGTTAATTGGATGATTATGAGAAAAGTGAACATAGTTATGGATAGTTCTCTATTGCTTGCTTTCTCCCTTAGCCTCTGTGTCATAAAAGCTCTACATTATTTGCATTAGAGTGGGGGGTGAAACCACTCTGTTTCAGATCTTAATAAGAATAGCAATGTGTGTTATGCACTGTCAAATCAGAATTGACTTAAAGCAACCCTGATAATATTGAGAATAAAGCCCAGCCAAATTCATTGGCTTCAATTTAATTTCTAAGGGTGTGCAGAATTGACAGACAAAGAAATCTTTATTGCACAGTCAACAGATCATTGCAATATTAAAATAAGATTAACACACCAACTTCGTCGTACTTATGGTATGACATTATTGATATACACACCAACTTAGTATATCAATAATGTCATACCATAAGTATTTATCAATAAATATACTATGAAGTAGAGTAATACTGACATTGATACATAAAATTAAACTATTAAATATGTCAATTATTTGACTATTTAAGCCAATCAATTGTCAGACTTTCAGTGAAGAGCAAGTGTAGTATTTTTGGACTTTAAATACCCAGAATTCCACAGGGAGCGTTGCTGCCTACAGAATTCTGGGAGTTGTAAAAAAGAAAAAGCAACACACAAGTCTGGACACATCTTCAGATTTCCAAAAGCCGCTGAAGAAGAATCATTTTGCACCTCTGGCAGGGCAGCTATCTCACTTTCTGAACAATTAGGAAAAGGAGCAAGAGAGAGGACAAGAAAAACAGCTGTCTAAAAAAGAGAAAAGGGGTAGCAAGGAAATAGAAAGATAGAGAAAAGAGAAAGCTTTCAAAGAAGGACAGAGACAAGCTTGGATTTAACCCCGACCTACCACTGAGTTTGAACCCACTGATCCTGACATCTTCACCTCTTGCAGTTCTGCGATCCAGGCTGGAATTCTCTCTAGGAATTTTGGACCTAATTGGCTGGATAGCTCAGTGCTTCTGGTATCTGGCTGTGGAAACAGAGGTTGGGAATTTGATTCCCTACTGCAGTGGTCCCTAACCTTGGGCCTCCAGATGTTCTTGGACTACAACTCCCAGAAGCCTTCACCAGCACTTCTGCTGGCCAGGGGGAGTGGGAAGTCCAAGAACTTTTGGAGGCCCGAAGTTGGGGACCAGTGCCCTACTGAGCCTCCTGCAAGTAGAACCAGCTTATGTGACCTTGGGCAAGCTGCATAGTCCCAGGGCGCCCTTCCAGAAGAATGGAATGGTCAACCACTTCTGAGTACTTTCTTCCCAGAAGACCCTGAAAGAAGTCACCATTAAGTCAGAATTGCCTTTATGGCACATGATCATGATGACGATGACGATGATGATGATGATGGAGGAGGAGGAGCTACAGCTTGCCACTACTTGTGTATGGGGTCACAGCTCCCATAATTAGCAAAGTGTGTATGTTATCTAAATCTTTTCAAGGGAGTCCTGTAGAGCAGTGATCCCCAACCTTGGGCCTCCAGATGTTCTTGGACTACAACTCCCAGAAGCCTTCACCAGCAC